ATAAAACATTATATATATATACGGTACATATAGGCCTATTGTATATATGACAAAGGTTGATAACCGAAAACGTTTGCTCACTATTAAATAAATATATACCTGGCAACTTATTACTTTCTCTCCGGAGTTTTTTGTTTTATATATATATATATATATATATATAGATAGATAGATTAAAAGGCAAAATACTGAAAAACAACAATGCTGTGGGAAACAATGGCTGGATCTCAGTAGAGATACAAATGATACAATGATAAGCAACAGCTAAAAAGTAGACGTAAGTAAACAGCCAGAAATAGAACCAGAGCTTTCGGACAACACTAGTCCTTCCTCTGTGGCGAGGGAGTGAGGGTAGAAAAAGCTAGATGGTATAAAGTGAGAATTTTATCAGCGTAACTGATCTACATTGCATAAAGCTATATATTACTTAGCTTTATGTAATGTAGATCAGTTACGCTGATGAAGTCTTCAGGAGAGGACGAAATATTCGTTTAAATAAAATATATTTATGTTCCGAAATATGTCAACATTTTCTTTACTGTTTGTCTCCGGCACACACACTTTTCTTTTATAATACGTGGAACATACGTGCAACACACACATGACTATTTTAATTAGACCAATATAAAATTATAATGTAAGATATGAATGTGTCCATTGGAATTGGAAAGAAATAACTTAATTAAAAAACAGTCTTACTGTCTTCGTATCAACAATATATAAATAAATCAACTTATAATGTGAAGGAAACGGAATTAATCACATTATTGACATTATTGGAGGAATATGCTACAGCTTCAATGCAGCGTACTTTTGAATTCTTTCTTGTACAAATGTAATAAATTTCATGAGTTATAGCATAAGTATAAGTGTGTCGAATGACGACTGTCATTGTCACGGACGCCCGACGAAACTCAGGAAATGCCTGGATCTTTATTTCGAATCCCTCAGTAATATCGAATCCTTGGCCTTAGTCACCCCCAATAACCTGGATTTAACTGTAAACACATAATATATGAGATGAATATCCACTATGTACAGTACAGTATTTGAATTATTTAGAACACCTACAGTTTTCTCAGGTTACAAAGGGTTTTATGCAAGAAAATAACTAGAAAGCAATATACAAACCAATATAAATATGCAGCATAAAAAGAAAGAACACCTAGGACGACAACGACGATGACGATAATGATGAAAAATAATAATATATGATAAATAATAATAATATTACAAAAGATAACAAGAAAAGTGATAACAATAACAGACATTGCCTAAATAACTCTTAATTTGGAAAGCCGTTTAAGTAAACACTGTAACAGAAAAGAAAGGTACAATGTAAGCCTAAATACAGTATCCTTTAGCAAGACACCATCATTTTGAAAATCCACTAACGTTAAGAATAAATGTGTGTTATACGTACATATTCTCTGTAAAAACCGATCGCCTTTTCGAAGCCGTCGGGGTTGAGGCTTGGAAGTAGATGAATCCGGGTATTGTCCACAAGATATCTGATGGTATTATTTCCAGTCTCGTACTCATTGCACAGATACTCGGCTAATTTTAAGATCAACTCTCGACCAGTTGCTTCGTCGCCATGCATATTAGCAACATATTTAAATTCTGGCTCAACTGTCAAAATAAATCAATTAGTGTTTCGTTGAAATTTACTTTATTACCATGTTAATTGACATGGGCGACTAACCGGGTATGAGCAACTACCCAGGGTAAGTAAAAAGGGCGACTAACAGACATGCATGCACATTAAATGTGGCGGATACCAGCGATACAACGCTCTGATGCAAAGTTTAGGTCAAATATATTTTAACAAATGCAATTAACGAAGTTTTGGAGACTATCCTTGAAGATGTGATAAAGAACTGCCCTGTTACAATAGCAATATTTGGTTGCAATTTTAGTTGCGGTTTTAGTTACTATAAGTTTGGTAGTATGTTGGTATATTGCTAGTTAAACTTAAAGAGTAGATGGAGTAACTTACGGAGTTCATGAATACCGGGGTTTTTGCTTATTTCCAAAGCATATAGCTCCCTGCCTTCAACGCTCTGTCCGATGCTGTACATCCTAGTTATGTTTGGATAAGTTAATGTAAGGTTCTGGAGAAAGATGCCAACATCGTTGTAGTCATGGTAACGAAAATCCAGAAATGATGTAACATCTGAGAAGAAAGCAAAACACCACTTGTTCGTTATCGTGTTATATAGCAAAAGTTAAGACTAATTTTATGTTTTATGGAAGAGGTTTACTATGCGACTGATTGATGGAAGCGCTTTAGGACTAAAATTACGATACAGTAATGGAGCCAGGATTTGCCTGAGTGGGGTACGATGTCTCTAGCGGGAGCGTAAGTATGGGTGGGGCCAGGGGGGCTACCCAAATTCATCAAAGGGCTCTAGGGGCAGAGCTCTCAGAAGCTTTCATCAATTTAGGGACGTGAAAGGCTTATTTTCACTTATCAGGTTAGTTGTGTTGAGCTGCTCGAGGGTAAGCTCTACCACACGGGGGTTCCCCCACACCAACTGGCAGCACCACTGTTAAGATACTATAGATACAAAAATATCTGACGTGTCACTTACTCAATGTTTGTTTCTCGCACAGTAACTCGTCTGACCCATCAAGACAGTCTGTTAATCCATCACACGCAAATTTTGAGTCGATACAACTGTTGAGGAAATTATTGGTTGAATATTAAAGGCTACTAATAGCATTCAATTCATTATGCTTTGAAGAAACTGATGATTAATTCCAATAGGAAAAGTATTGCTCTAATAAAACGAGCTTAAGCTCTATACGGTACCTAATATCAAAGTCAAATTTTGTATTATGTCCTATAATACCGTTGAAATAGTGTCCTTTGTCATTGGTTTGCTTACTTTTTAAATTCTTCCTTAAATGTTTATGTTAGGTTAGGTTAGGCTGTATTGTCTTTTGTAGTTGTGAATTTGTGTTTTTATATTTTTTTATTGGTTAACAAAATTTACTACTGTGATTCTTGGTCTTCATTTTACAAGCTCATTAGAGTTTTATGAATTTCCTTTTCATCTTTTATACTAATTTTAACATTAAAAAAAAATTAGTTGTAAATTGACATTGGCCGTATTCGATTAGTCGTTCTTCGTTAAACCACGCCCACCTGCGCAGTAATCCTACTTAAACGAAGACGATCAGTCAAATAGAAAACTGGTAAATACTTTACAAAACAAAATGGCTGCATAGCTACCGCGATACACGCTGCGTATTCAAGCTGCTTCGGATTGTGGCAGTATTGGTTTTTCGTTAAAAAAAATGTCTTCATACAGTTTTTGAATTTTGTTAGCCTACAATTATTTTTTTACTTCAATGTGGGTAAATATTATAAGTTTTATTTTCTGAAAATTAATCTAAATTATATTAACGCAAATGTTGTTGCTTAACTGACCAATCGGCCATATTTTTTTGGTCACGTGCGTAACTTAACGCTGATTAACGCATTCTGGCTACGTTAACTTTCGTTGTCAACGAAGTTTATATTACGAACCAGTCGAATGAAAATAATACTCAACGAAAATTCGTACTCAACGAAATGAACCAGTCGAATAAGCCCATTGGTTTGATGATGAATAAAACTGAATTGAATTATAAGGCACTATGTCTGTTTTTTTTATGTTTAAATTACTTTATTAGTTGCGGATCAGAAAACATGAAATAGAGGGGGTACAGAAGGGAAGTTTACATCATGATTAAGACTGAAGTACGAACTTTTATATGTCTATGGCACCTGTAGATGGCACTCTCAGAATTAATCAGAATGTAATTTGCCTTTTATGATTTTATAATCTTTAGGGCTTCCTCCACCCCTTGAATTCGCCTCTGTTTATTATCTCAAATGCTGTCAACGTTGGTTTACTCAGAATAACTATTTATAATAGGCCTACGTTATCATAGTTCTTCTATTGAAATCAATGGTTTATGTTTATAAATGAATTATTGACAAAAATAAGCATTACCTTCCATCACTAACGCATCCAAATTCGTCTTTTTGACAAGCTGTTGAAAATTAATGAAAATGTTTCAGAATACACAGAGTACACAGAATAGTCTAACATAAAACATGGTCTTAGCCTCCTACTAAAACAGACTTTAGCTTTGATCTTGCAACTCTTGGACGGGCGGAAGCAACTTGGGCGTGAGAATTACTATGCCCACTATTTAATTCTTAAGAGGAAACAAAGACTGTGCGAGCAAATAAGGATCTGTAAGTACAACACCAGAAAAAGTTGAGAATGGCAACTTTAAACATTATTTATATTTTTCTATAAATCTTTTTCGTTTTGTCGTCAGAAGTCTAGTAAAAAATATAGCAGAGCAAAATGTGCCAAAATTTAGCATTTTTAGAAATCTGCACTGTAGATGGAACTAGGCCAGTATACTCGATTCTAACCACTAAATATAATAATTATATAATTTTAATATATTAAAATTTTATCTCATGAATTATATAATAATAGCATGGCCTGTTATATTATAAATATATAATTTATTATATAATTAGAACTTGTGGTTTATAGTATTTTAGCAATCTAATTTATTATGTTATTCCTAGGCCAGTATAGATAACTCACCTGACAAGCACATAAGCCCAACACCATACGAGTTCTTACAATCCGTTTCGCCCCATGGGCTATGGCTACAATCTTGTAATGTTTTATCTCTCAGCTTACAATCCACGTTTTCTAACCACATCTTATCTGGAATATTCTTCCGCATGCCTCTTCTACAGTGTACCAATTTAAAAAAAAGTTTTAACTACTTTGATTCCATTGATATACAGTAAATGTCCAAGTTGGATGGAATTTAATTCCAAATAGGCCTATTTGAAAAAAATGGAATTTTGGCTGGGCGCCCGGGAACTCGCAGCAGCCGCAGTGCATCGCCAGTTCCGACATTATAACGGGTACATTGTCCCTTCTCCCTAACTCTCATGCAGCGAGGGTTGTTTGGATTTGTAGCAATGGACGCAATAGCTTTACGAATTTATTAATGAGGGCACTAATGTAAAGTAAAGTATGTTCACTAATGAGTGAAATACCAACATACAGTACCTGGTTTGTTTTTGTTTATTCAAAATTTGATGTACGCCTGGGTAGCCCAACTGCCGGCAAATCGAAGCTGCAGTGACACCAGTGAATTGCTTCCTGCACACGCTACCCCATTCACCATTATGCAATACTTCAAGGCGTCCCTCACGTTGAATACGTCCTCCACTCAACCTAAATTGACCTTATTGTAAGAAAAGATAACAAATTGGAAAGGAAGTTGTATACTGACGAATTAATCTTCTATCAAACCGTATTAATTCATTAAATTTTCATATATAATTAATTGCATATAGTTTTTTTCTACTCAGTCGGAAGGTACGAATATATATATAGTATATATATATACATACATACATTATATATATGTACAGTATATATATATACATAGGCCTATATATTCATATATACACACACACACATATATATATAATATATAATACATACATATATATTATTATTATTATTATTATTATTATTATTATTATTATTATTATTATTATTATTATTATTATTATTATTAATATAAGACCAAATTGCTTGAGTTGCCTTTATATATTTAGAATAGAAACATTAGGATGAACAACTGGGAAAAAACTAGGGCTGCTAGTTTGTGATTGTGTACGCAAATGCCTAAATACCAGGTGTATATTCATGTAACGTCATGCACTTATGATCTGTTTTGATAGGAGTCATGACCATGAACCATGGTAATGTAACAATCGAGGGAAATATGTATACTCCTGTGACTATCGGTACTTGCCAAAATATAATTATAGGGAACTTTGATCGGAGCGACTAAAAGTATGCATTATAATCCATGGCCTCATTATAATCCATAGCCTCAGAGTTCGAATACTTCCTCACAATAAAAACCATTCTACTCATTAAGCCACATAACGTGATAGAACATCATTAGTAAGACCGTTTCGGCCGAATATCTATTGTCAATTTTTTTTTTTTAGTCACTTTCGGAACACCTTATTATTATAATTTACAAATGCGCCGAAATAAATGTATAACAGGGATACGCGCAAATGTGGCCTGTTCTACCATTTGCCTAGTTGTTTATATATGTTCAATGCTACGCAGCATACTA